CTGGTTCAAATTCGCATTTTCACCCCAGAAGATGGATAAAAGGGAAAAGGCACTGTACCACTTAACATTTGAATTTGTTCCATTGAGAATTAATTGTAGGACCTTGTTCCAAAATTTGTTAACTGTAGGGCTCTTAAGCCAAAATTGTTTTAAAGTGACTCTTTTCCACAATCCCTCCAGCACAAGGAAGAAATCTCAGGTGTGATCTTTGCAATTTCGTCTAGAGTCCAGTGCATTAATTTTAATGCACACTCCTTTTTGCTAGAGGAGATACAGCAGTAGGGGGTGAAAGCCACATTATGAGCCAGTGCTCATCTGTGATTGTAATGCCAAGATCTGCTTCCCTGGAAAGTTTTGCATCATTTATGTCCACTATAATCTTATAAAGTAGGGAAGCCATTCCTTTACAGCGATCACCGTATTTTATACAAATATTTTTGAACTGAGTGAGAAATGTTGGGGGCCCATTTATATACAAATGAGTCTATCTGAAATAATTGTAGCCATGAACTCTTTAGATCTTTTTGAATATCATTAGAATGCATGCATGGACTATTATTAATTCAATCACTAATAATATAAAAATTGGATTTCATAAATTTCAGGATCCAATTTCAGGAATCCCCTCTGGAAGTTGATTCTGGAGCTCCTAACTGATGCTGCTCGCTAGGAAGGGTTTTTAATAACAATTGTATTATATGTTGATTTTAATTTGTATTGATTTAATAATGTTTTAAGGGGGGAAGGGATTTTGAGTTGTTTTATACTATGTACTATTTTACTGTTGTAAGCCGCCCCGATTGTTCGCAGAGGGGTGGGATATAAGTAAATTTTATTATTATTATTATTATTATTATTTTAAAAAATCAGCTAATGGTTCCACAGCAATTATAAGTAAAAGATGATTTGGGAAAGAGACTAAATAATTAACGGTGCAAAATTGCCTTGGCTCTGCATGTAATTTTGAATTAAGCTCACAAATTTAAATCCAAATCCTTGTTTATGTAGTAATTTTAACAAAAAAAAAATCAATTCCAATCCACCATATCCCTTCATGACATCTAGGGATAATAAAGACAGTGGGTGATTGGTAACCCTTGCCTGATTGATTGTATTATAAATATGCTATACAAGGTCTGATATTTGTCTGCCTGGCACAAAACCAAACTGATCTGTGGACACATATTTTGAAATTAAAAACTGCTATAATTTGTGCTGAATCCCATGAAAGTGGGACTTATCTTCCTTCCAATGCATTGTTGAACACTGCAGTTAAGCAAGGCATTAAAATCTCCTCAAGCTCCTTATAAAATTCACTTCCAAACCCATCAGGGCCTGGGGATTTGCCACTTTTTAATCTTTTTATTGCAGTATTCACTACTTCTAGAGTAAATGGGCTATTTTACATTTTCCTGTGTTCATTGCTGATGGGCTTGGTAGTTATAGAATACATGAGGTATGGTGATGAGATATGCAGCATAACTATAAATGTGAGTGAATGGTTATTACACAGATCGTGTGATAACGAAGATCCATCATATTACCACCTTAAACAGCTTTTAAAAAGCTGTTAAGACAGAGCTCTTCCGGCAGGCCTTTCCTGAATAGATATCCTGGCCACCAAAAGATAGCCCAACCTGCTGTCCCTGATTTTGTTACAGTTGTTTATTTGTGTTATTATTTTAAGGGGGGGTGGGATCGTGGGATATGGAATGTATATTTTAATATTGTAAGCCATCTTGGTTGTGTTACGCAGAGAGGTGGGTTATAAATAGTAATAATAATTATTATTATTATTATTATTATTATTATTATTCAGAGGAAACAGGCATGCACTGAAACATCTGAGGTCATTCAGCTGGGAAGAAGCTGGAGGAAAGTACAAAGAGGGGGACAGTATGGGAAAGGAGAGAAACAGAGTTGTTTTGAATATGCAGTGCATACCTCTGGGTACCATTGTGCCACACAGTTGTAAGTTATAACACACAGCAGTCCCTGGGTGAATATGAACACTGCAAAACTATTCCGTTATGTTTCCCACACATGTACGAATTAACTTATGAAGACCTAAGTCCCATGCTGAATTCCAACCATCATAATTGTCATCATCATTATTGCTATTATTTCACAATAAATGGAGTTTCTAACACTTTCATTTTTGCTTTGTTTTGTTTCTTAGTGGGGGAGTATATATGGCCCACAGAGGATTTCAAGGGCAGAAAACTGCCCTCAGACCTGCTAACCCCTGATGCAAAGAAAAAGCAGAAATTACAACAATATTCATATTTGGAGGAGGGATGCCTGCCAATCCACTCTGCTTCTCCTGAAACAGTGGAACAGCTGAATTCATGAATATTTGCAACACAATCTGTTCTGTCTCTTTCTGCAATGCCATTAC